GCTGTATCTTTTTTCTCCGAGACAGGAACTGCTTTTGCTGGCAGGCTGACAGAGGGGAGGAAGAAGGGAGTGCATTTTGGAAATTGTATGGAACACGTTGCCCACATCAAACTCTCTTCTCTCCTCCTCTTGAGTTTTGCAGAAAGAAATTAACATTTAATGTAAAACAGCCTGCTTTGATAGCTGTCTGAGTGCCCCATTAAACATTTTCCACACCTCAGGGGAGACAAATATCTGGTCGTAAATTCCAATTTGTCATGGATTTTCTAAGTCACAGGTTGACAGAAGAAGCAGTTATCGCTCTCTGATCAGTATGCAGAGACCATTACGCTGTTTAGCAATACTCTTCAATGGACACAGAAAGAGTTACAGAGTCGATTTAAAAACCAAAGCCCTTTGTTTTTGAACATAAGGCTCCCAGAAAAACGTTAGCAGAGATTATTTCACCAACACAGCACTGAGTCAGTAACAAAATGTAATTCCCTGCTGGATAAGTGCCATTATTTGTTGTGATTGTGGTTATCACTATTCATCTTCTATTTACATACCATGTAAATGTATACCGTACTTTGTAACAGCATACCAAAAACAAAGCCCCTCTTTAGAAGACTTTTAACACTTCTGATCCAGTGACAAATTTAGTTCTATCACATACTTAACAGTGGCAGCAATGTGTGCACCCTGGAATTATTTGGAGCAAACATTTGCATGTGCAGTCCACAACTCCAGCCAGAGCTGGTGAGCGCTGGAAGACCTAACTGCAAAGAAAAAATCAGCCTCCCATCCTCCAATTCCAAGATAGTAACACAGAAAATTAACTAGCCAAACAAGATTTCACTGTTAAGATTGCGAATTTGTAATCTCCAGTCTTCAACTGCCATTCCTGGCTGATGGAAACGAGGAAGAGGAACAAAGAGTGGAGACTAAGATCACAGGTTTGCAAAGGTTATGCACACAAAACAATTTTCTGCAGGCTGGGCTCTAATGCCTTTGTAACTTCCGTCCATTTAAACCAACTAAGAAAGAGTTTTGGCTGTGGTCCAGCATTCCTAACTTAAGCACCTGCACAGAATTTAAATTCTAGGTGACCTGTGGAAACTGTCCTCCTAAAGCGCGTGCCTAATTTTCTCCATATTGCCAAATGGGAGAGATGCCCTTAAAGGCCTCCAGAGAGAGGCCCTATTAACTTCTCTTGGTTAAGAAACCTTCCCTCTTTGCCTGTCAAGATCCTGACTGCTCTTACAGGCGGACCTGTAAACTCCATCACAGAGCAACACAAGTCTGCAATTCTCCAGCCTGTTTCATTCCTCGACATACGCTGCCAATCCAAACTCAACAGCTTCTTTCAATTTATTCAAAGAATCAGGTCTTTTCCCTTTCCACCATCTGACTCTAGAAAGCAGTGTCTTTTGAGGGACTCTCCAAAACATCCAGAATTTCTAAACGAAAGCTGTCTTCCTTCTGTGAAAACAAGTTGCATCTCTCTTCAGCTTTTTACTTTCGGTTGCATCATCCTTTGCTGTCTGATAAGTGTTGCCAACTATGAGCCACTGAGTCATGGATTCGGCAGTGGCTGTATGAGAATGGGTCATCTGAGTCCACACCACTGGGCAGGCAGGAGGAAGAAGGCCTAGTCTGCGCACCAGCTGTCAGGCAGTCAGCATAGCAGGAGCACAGTATTGTCCCCCACATCAGATTACTGACATGATCTGCCTGCACAGGCAGTTCCAGAGGACCCCGCAGTGGACACTGCTTGCAATGCTGTCAAACCTACTCCTGATGAGCTGGCCTGAGTAGCAGTAGGCTCTGCCTACCCCTGCATTTTCTCTGTCCTGTAGGTCTTGCATCATTAATTTCTGCTTGTATCTAACAGGGGATGGGCACTTCAGCAGCCCCGAAACCAGCACATGGAGGACATATGACAGAACACACAGGATCCGACTTGAATCTTTACTTGGTCACCAAACAGTATATACCATGAGATAGAGGGCTTTTCTCTGCTAAGGTGAAGCAAGAGTCGCAAGTTGCTGACTGTTACAACTCGCTGCCATTTGCTGTAGTCTGTGTTTGAATGCTGTAGTCCACGTTTGAGGCTGCTCTCTTGCAGCTGTGTGGGAGGCTGGCAGGAAAGGGAGCCCATCACGGCGCAGAGGACAGCCCTGGCACTCGGATACATCCTATCTTGCAGAAGGCCTCTTTCAGAGCTACGAAGTACTGACCAGCAAGAGTCGCTGCTCTCTGGCAGCCCTCGGGGAGCACACGACTGTAGCTATATTCATTAACCTGCCCTACCTACAGAAGCATCTCTATCGAGGACAGCATTTGCATCAAAGTCTGCCTCCACGGCACCACAAGGAAGTGGCAGAGCGGGGGAGAGAGAGAGAGAGAGTGATTGGCTTGGTCAAAAGGTGGTAAAACTGATAAAGTGATCAGCATAAAACGGATGTGGGGAGAGAAGCTGTCGTTTATTACTTCCTTATGTGACATTTATACTGCAACATTCTTCCAGAAACAAAGAGACTAAGGAAACAAAGAAGTCACATCAAATCGCTTGTGTTTCTCCTGGCATGACACCTTTCTGAGAAAACAGCTTTTCTGAACTCATGCCCAGCAACTTTCATGACCTTGATACAAATCTCTCAATCTTGGTTCCCTGTCACTTGAGATAGTGAGAATCCTAGTTTTTATCTCCAAAACCAGCAAGTTTCTAGTCCTATCTTGCTCACTGAGGCTGGAGGATGTTCAAAAAGGTGCCATGGTGAAGTTTAAAAAAGGCTAAAAAAGCAGAAAAACTGGGCGGGTTAAAAACATATAAGCAAATTATTTTAACCTCCTGTTTTGTTTTAATTTTTTAATGGGGAAGGAAGCTTTTCCTAGGGACTGCTGGAAGGTGGAAATAGGTGAGCTCCTACTGGGGACGAGGCTTCTGCAGCAGGCTGTAAGGATGCATCATTCAGCTCTGCTCCCAGCCAGAATGCTGTGCCTGAATTGGTGATGGAGCTCCCAAACTTCCATGTCCGCTGCCCCACTGGGATTAGGCCAGCATGCGCCTTTGATGCAAATGCAAAGGCAAACTGCTCCCAAATTAATCTGGGTGTCACTCAACAGTAATCTAAACTATGAAGTAAAAGGCACAATTTTGACTTTTATTTTGGAACGGCACAAGCATTACAAAGGGCAGCGCGCTTAGCTGGGACTCCCAAAAGAGAGCCAGTGCTGGTAACACCAAAGGTACATCTTTTCTCACAGTCAGGTCTACATTTTTTGGCAGCAGAGAGGGATATGGAAAACTGCAGGAGGGAGAAACATTCCCGAATTAATATCCCAATACTGGTATTTGTTAATATTTTAAACAGTTTCTGCAGCAGGTACTTCTTTCTTTTCAACCTAGGAGACACGAGACCTTACTTCTAAACTGATTTTGTTTGGTAAAGGCTAGATTAACCATTCTCATTAGCACTATTTTACTTCACTGCAAGAACAGTCCCTTACAGCCCTCCTGCCCCCATCTCCCTCAATGCCAGAAGTGTCCAGAGTCAAGGACAACTACAGGCAAGCAAGGTGCTAGGCACAGCCTTAGGTTACCCGTGCCTATGTGTGTGATTTGGCAAGACTATCTTTGGTTTAGTATACAGAAAAAAGGCCATTTTAATTGTGTTCCTATGCACGCGTTATCTACTGGCGGAGGAATATCCCAGGGTGAGATTTCTTGTGTGATACAAGTTTGTGAAATAACAAGCTGAGTCTGCTGATGTTGAAAACGCAGACTATTCTGAGTTCTTTTTAGCTTTTTTTTTTTTTTTTTTTTCCCACATGCCTTTCTTGCAATAGGAGAGCTGCTCTCTGTCTCGGTGCTTACGTCAGCCCAGAGGACCCCTCCCAGACAGCCCGTGGAATCAGAGTGTAAGCCTCTTGGCACGTGTTTCATTTCTGTTAAAAGAGTTGGAAGCATCAGAAACAGAATTCAAACCTGCTCTCTCGGAAAATAGATTCTTCTCTCCGTCCCCAGAAAACCTTAGCCTTAGTTACTAAAAGATGACTATCTGGCACAGGGAGAAAAGCAAAAGCAAAACAAATTTCTGTAAAACTGGATTCTGAGCACACAAATGTTGGTGCAAAAGTCATTTCAGTCTGATTTATGGATACCAAAGCTGTGCTCTAAATATATAGCCCAGATAATTTAAAAAAAAAAAAATTCTGAAGGAGATAAATGATCTAATGCTCCATCCACGAGCATTGGGAAAAAGCGAAGTCACAGGGAATGACGACACTTGAAAAGATAAATAAAAAGCATTCGCTTAAAAGTAAATGTTCAATGGAAAGACTGCCTCATTCTTAGAAAAGCAAACATAGCTGAGGCTCGCTATTTGCATGTCACAAAACCTCACAGACCTAACTCAAATGCAGAAGCCTCCGGCCTCTGTCCTTCCTTCAATCAGTGAAGATTTAAAAACACATTACTTGAGTGAGGTCTCATATTGCTACAACCAAATTAAAGCCTGAAACTATAAGCTGGTGTAATTGACCGCTGACACTGGGAAGTGTTCACATAAAAGCTTGCAAATCAAACACTGCTTGAGACGCTTACGCTCACTTTGCCATGCACTGTGCTTCCTTTAAAGCAGAAAACATGGACAAGCCCGGAGCATAAGTGTAGACCTATAAAAAAATGTTGCTTACTCATAAATCAGTGATTTACTACGGGACCTCACAGTAAAACTGCTTCCGCCTGAAGGTACAGGACCGCAGGAACTCCCGCAGTTCTGAGTAAAGAGATGGGAGACACCAGCTCCAAGGGCAACTGGAAGTTTCTCCGCGCTTGGAGTGCAAACGAAAGCCCTCCACAACGCACCTGCTCACTGCCCTGCTTCCACATCTCTGCTCGCCTGAGTCCTCCTGCCCGGTGAGGCCCCATCGCTGGCTGCCACCATGGCGCTCCCTGTCCCCCACCTGCCTAACATGGCACTCCCCATCCCCAGCACCCACCCACCCTGTCTCACCTGCTGTACACCAGGCACTCCATGTGGTTGATCTCCTTGTCGGAGCGGTAGCGGCTGTAATCCTCCCACAGGTCCTTGATGGCAGTAACCGCCAAGATGAAGAGGACAGGGGCCAAGGCCAGCTCCGGCTGGAAGGCGTTGACGGCCGGCACGAAGTTCAGGAGCGCGATGAACACGAAGTAGACATTGGCCAGGCGGTGGAACTGCTCGAAGAGGTTCTTGGGCAGGAAGGAGAGCGCCGTGTACTTGGTGGTCTTGAGGCGGTTGCTGGCCAGGACCGTCCTCTTGGACTTCTCCGCCTCGGCCTCAGGTAACAGCAAGTTGGAGCGCACCAGCCGCGTCTT